CATTTTTGGGGTTTTGTGTGACATTATGTCATATTTGCTTTTCTGCCTCTGTTTTATATTTGTTCCAATACATACAAAGGGAATAAACATGTGTATAGCAAAACATGTGTTAATGCAATACCTTTTTTGTGTGAAATACTTGATTTTCAGGAAAAATATCAAGGGTGCCAACAATTTCGGCCATGACTGTATGTGTGTCATGTATAGTCAGTAGGCTCTGCTTGTATTTAACCATACCCATTTAGGCACCTCCCCACTATTAGCGCACCATTTACTGCAGTGCACTACACATAATGTATTTTCTCAGGGTGCTCTAGGTTTTTCAAAATCCTAGTTATGCCCCTACACAGGGGCCTATTTACACCGTGCTGGTTTTTTTTATGTTGTGCCTGCATTTTGGGGGGGCACTCCATTTCCAAAGGACCCCAAAGCATGAGAACATGCTTAACCATCATAAAAGTTAAAACAGGTGTTGCATCCCATTAAAAACTAATGGCCTTGTGAAATACAAGCTGACGCAACAAAAACATTGATGCACAGAGAACACTGTAAATGGGCTCCTAAAACAGTGAAAGTAAAATTTATACAGCTTAGTGTAAAAAAATCAGATTTATTGTTTGCTTCTGGAGGTATGCATAAAAACACCTAAAATTTAGGTTTAAAGCTCAACACTTACCTCTGTGCCCTCCTTCACAGGATGTTTCTGTGAAAACTCAGCTGTCACTGCTGTGCTATCCATGCCTGCACACATCCAGTTCTTGCCCATTATTGGAACTGAAGCAGTTATCCTATGGCTTATTCAGTAAATAAGGGCAACAATTTTCAACCACTCAGAATGTCAAAAAATGTCCTATCTGAGCTGACTGCAGTTAAATTAAATCTGATTCTTTAGTGTTGGCTAGTGCATTTTCACATTATCCCTGTAATTTGCACGGCTTTATAAAATAAGCTGACGTGATGTATTTAAAACCCAGTATCTGCATTTTCTACTGTATGTTCCTGCACTGTTTTGGATAATCTCTGTAGTTTGCACTGCCTTATTAAATAGGCTGACATGTTTGATGTACTAAAACTCAGCACTCAGGTTTTTTGCTGTAAGCTAGTGTGCTTTTCACATCATCACAGTAGTTTGCACTGCCTTTTTGAATCTGCTGACAAGTCTGATGTACTAAGAGCCAGTGTAGTTTCTTGTTATATGGCCAGATTCTGTAGTATCTGAAACTGCATCAGATATTCTAAGCATATAGTATTTATAGGTAAGGTTGGAGACATTAGCCAGTGTAGATGTATATGTGTGGATATTCTGAACAAAAACTAGGTTTATAGCTCATAATCTATAAAATTATTAAAGAATGTATTGCCATTTTAGGCTTTCTCCTCCAACTGCCGTGTGCCTTTCATAGCCTACTGCTGGTAGCATACATGCTTATTTTAACCAATTGATCTGCAATTCAATCAAATCTGCAAAAAAAAAAAAATCAAATAGCAATAATTTTTCTTCTGATCAATTTACTCATTTTCAAATTTGATCAAACTGAGTCCATCTGCCAGGGTAGAAAATTATCAAAGGCTTTGAGATAATTTGTTCATGAATATGTTGGTAGTTCGATAGATCAGATTATGAGGTTACATAGTGGAAACAGAGATGTGATTGATAATTTAGGCAAAACATAGATGACTCATTTTTCTGTGATTGCAGGAAAGATGATAGCTTGATTCCCCCATCAACACAGTCAGTGTTAATGGGGGAATGCCTCCCATGGAGCTATTGTATTCTGCCAGCGGGGAGCCTTCATGCCTGGCAGAGCACAATGATTACTACTAGCTATAGCCGACAGCAGTGATCGCATGTAAAAAATCCAACAGGCTGGTTGTACCCAAGCTAATCGATGGATCAACTTGGGTACAACCAGCCTACCCATAGATGGTTTGAATCTCAGCCAGTCCCTACTGAACGGGCCAATATTTGATCCATCTATAGTAGGCTTTACAATCGTAAGATCATAACTTGAAATACACTTCCCAAGTGTGGTATAGTGATCCAATGGATTGTCGACTATGCCAATAAAAAAAAAAAAATAAAATAGTTTATAAAAATGTGTACAGCCTCCTTAAGAGGTAAGGACCGATTAGAAGATATCAACATGTTGAGAGCACTTATATTACAATTAGAGGATTATTGTAGATACAAGAGTAGTTTTGTGCAAACATATAACTATATAATAAGTAGGACGAGTATGCTAAAATAGTATTTCTTGAGTGCTGTCATAACTGACACTTGTAGTTTTCATAAAAAGCATTTTGTTATTTAATCTAGTGTGTAACTAGCTGCCGTGTCATGTTCGCATCCTAAGCATTTTATTAATTTTTCTAGTGTGTAGCTAAGGAAGAGTGGCTGCTAATTCAGACAACTCACCTTTTTAGGTCTGCTGGGGGGAATGCATGCTGAAAATACCCATTAAAAGTGCTAAAAGCAAAGCCACACATCTAAATCACTTCAGACTAAAACTCCATAAAATGCCTAGCTATTTATCCTGTAGTGTCACACAAGCATGAAGGTGGGAATCTTCCAAAAACACAGATGCAGCAATTTTAGTAGTGCATTACTTACACTCTCCCCTCCCCATAATAGTAGCATTTGCTAAAATGATAACATTCCACATGTCTAATCACAGGTAACGTTAGCCAGAGGAGCAACACCCTACAGCCTGATAGAAGCTCTTTGGGCTGAATATAAGTGGTTACTTCTGCTGTACCCAAGAGTTCATTTCTTCAGAATGTGTAGCTATCCTTTAAACAAAATTATATTGTTAATGATAAAGAGAATAAAAAAAAAAAAAAAAAAACAATAAAGTACTACCAATATTTTACTTTAATTACCATCAAACCCATCTGGCTGTTTAAAGCAATTGCTATATGTAAAGTCATTTGGTTCCAGTCATCAGATGGGGGCTTCGTACATTCATACTGAAATATTTAGAACATCACAACGCTGTTGTGTGCCACCTAAATGGTCAGTAACAAACAAGCACACTGGGATTGCATATGTGTGCAATGTTATGTAAAACAACTGAAGAATGTAGTGTACTGTTGACCATACCAGTCTAAAAGACCACTTTACCCCAGCTCTTCACAGAATCACAAGTAAAATGAGAATAGGGCTTTATTTAAAAGATGGATTGAGAATAGCTGGACATCATGATCTTTAGGGTACCCAAGAGTTGGGTGAGTACTGGTACATGATCTAAGAACGCCACAGCTTGTCATTGTCTCTTGATTCCACCATTTAGTTCTTAAAGTTGAACTCCAGTTTTGATTTACCTTAAATGGGTGTGTTTAGACCAAGCTAATCCAAACTATCTTTTACCAATACATGCACCAGCTGGGAGCATAGTGTAAACTGTATGTAGCTGCAGCTGTTTCAGGAGCAGAACAGGGACTTCCCCATCTTCCTGGGCCAACTTCAAGTCAGGATGAGGGCTGCTTAGCAATTCACAGGAAACCTTGTATTTTTATTAAATGAGTACAAGGCCTTGTCTGAATGGCTGAAGTGGAAAGGCAAGGGGATGACATCACAATCTCCACCTCAAGCATGCAGAGGAAGCCTTGTATTCATTCATAAAAATACAAGGCTTCCTGTGATTTGCTGAGCAGCCCTCAGTCAGGCTGTTTTGTTTCTGGGATCTATCTACATATATAAAAACTTAACCAAAACTATACTAATACAAAGATGGATTCTGGTTAGCTGATGTAAGCATCACACTTTGCATTAATGTGCTATAATGTTATAACTCCCTCTATATTCACATTTATGCATAATTATGAAGTTGTCTAAGCAAATACACTGCATGTAATCAGGACTGTGAAAGCCAATTTGCTAGTATAGGGCTATACCTGCTCTGCTGCAGAATCAAGACTCTGACATGGAAATATTTTTTTTTTAAATACCTGACTGTAGTAGGTTGTCATATGCTATTGCTATATATGATCGATAGAACAAGAGAAAACTGTGTGCTATAGTAATTACATATTGCAATACAACTCTTACTCAGATGTATATAAAATGGTTCACAATGTAATTCATGTTGGTGTGCGTTTCTTCTATCTCCATAACTGTTGTGTGCTATTATTTTAAAAGTTTTACCTATGACCTCCCCGTTGCCCCTACTAAAATAAATGAACACAATACTCAAACACCACATTGTTAGAACAAAAAGAAAGCCTGCAAATTAAAATTGCAGTTTTATTGACAATACTGCCGCACACATCCAGCCAGGCCAAGAAAATGACAAAGTAAACAGCAACTTCAGACAGAACAAAAAAAAAAAAAAAAAATAAATCTTTGGCCATATTACTCATCCAAACCCATCTAAAGAACAGCTAAAAATATGCTCAAAAACAAAAAACAAAACAAAAAAAAAAAAAAAAACAAAAAAAATAATGTAAAAAGTTACTGGAATGATCAGAATATTTTTCTTATATGGGAATTTTGTCTTATTTATTTAGGTTTTTTTGTAACAACTTTTTAACTTTTTTTGTAAAGATTTCTCCATTTGTTCCCCTTGGAGAAGAAACAGCCCAGTCTTACTCCACCCCACCCACCACCCCGCCCAGAGAAGAACAAAATACATCAGGATTTCATTGGCAGAAATCTACAGGAAAATTACCGAAAATAAAATAAAATTACATGTGTAATTTAAAAGCCCCACACCCTGTCAGCCGGATCCCCGGTACAGAAAAAGGACAGCTGTATACCAATATGTACAAAAATATAAAATGTAAATAAAAAATACAAACATAGGACCCCAATCCAAGGGCGTTTTTTGTTTCCCATTTTAGAATTTTATGAAGGAAAAACAAAAATTTTTCTTGCTGTTGACCTCAACCCCCACTTTTTTCTTCTTAGGACCGGAGAGGACAGCAAGTGACTGCAGCCCACACTGGCAGTGAAGGGGTTGGCCCTCTCAGCTTGAAAGGACCTGGGGGCTGCTCTAAAAAGAATGCACCATGGGAACACAGTGACCTGCCTCACAGACACAGCCACTTGTGTGGACGGAGTAGGGGGCCATGGGAACCTGCATGAAGGGTGGGACGGATGCATCACTTTAAGTGACCATGTTCTGAGCGTGACAAGGGTGGGGAGGCGGTGGAGAAGTATTATATATAGAATTTATTTTGAGACAGGGAATATCCCCTCTCTAGTCGTCGTCATCTGTTTTCTGCTTCTTTGCATCAACGTCATCATCCTCCTAAATGAAATAATAGAAAAAAAAAAATTAAATAGATTATACACTTTTTAGATATATACAAAAAAAAAAAAAAAAAAAAAAGTGGTCACACATTAAGCTGCCTCAAAAGGGATTTCAGCACTGCATTTGCGGTTTATCTCCATATCCCAAAATTGGAAGTATAGCACTTTGTAACTAGAAATTACTCGTGTCTTATTTATTGCAACAATATAAACTGCATGGAATACAATCTGACGGTGTGAACAAGACCAAAGTGACTTGTTATAGGGAAAATACCAATGATGCTCCGTTTGGACACATTACAAATTTGCTACATTTAGTACTCTACATTTTGTGAGCCAAAGCCATACTAAAGCAATTCTGTAATGGTTGTGCTTAGCATGGATAAAGATATTAGCTCTTCTGGTCTTCTTCAGTAATACTGAAGTTTCCATGAAGATAGAAGACAAACCCCTCATGCTTCTCCACTCAATCTCAGACTGTTACCAACTGCCATAGGTCCCATCTTCATCTTACCATTACCAAAGACTAGGCTATAAAAAGGTGACTATACCTAAGACAAGTAAATATATCCAAGACAAACTATGGACAGTCTAAACATTTTACTTGTGAATGGTTATCTGTATGTTAGCATGTAAGCCTTAAGAATCTTTATCTGTTAATGGAAGGTCAGAAAGAAATTGCATGTAGGCCTGAGGCTGCACAGAATATAAAATGAAGAGCCCCCAAAAAAAACTGCATAGCTCCTGTGTTGAAAAATAATTGAAAGTTATCCTGTCAACACCAGAAAAGCAGACTGAGGCCTAAGAAAACTCCTGAGATTTCCCCCTACTCATTCAATAGTAAAGGGCCATGGCCGAGACACTAACTGCTTACATTTCTTATAGCCATTGAAATAACTAGAGATCTGAGACACCAGTCAATATACTGTAAGTCTCTACAGTGCTAATTGAAGCACATTACACAAGTTGTAGCTTTGCAAAACCCTACGAGTAGAATGCATTTTATTTGCATATTAGTGTGACTCACATCGTCATCTTCTGCTGCTCTTTTCCCAGTGGGTCCATCTGCTTCATCGTCTTCATCACCCTCATCTTCATCTCCTGGCAGGGTATTAAATTAGCATCAGTCATTTTGGACAGGCAGAATTATAGATGGTGATAAAGACTTATGTCTCTACGCCCCACCAATTTTCAGTTAAGCAAATTAGACTTGGTCAACGCAATGGCATTGTTTACACACAAAGCTAGTTTGTTAATGAGAAGTTAGATACAAAGACTGTAAGCCACAAAAAGTCATTAAACAGAAACAGCCTGGTGCTATGGCCCCTGTTAGAAATTCATGTTCTCTGCTCAAGTCTATTCAGTCAGAATGCCAAACACCTGTGTGAGAAGGCTGAAATTGAAGCAGCTGTTCGTCAACTCACATGCTGTATACCAATTCTAATGCTATTAATTTGGTAATATGTCTGTATGCCTATTGTATAGTTAGTAATACAAGATAACCCCTTCTGAATGGTTGCAAAAAGATAATCCATCACCATTTATTGTGTGTGTCTTACCTTCTCCTTCATCCTCCTCATCTTCCTCATCAACTTCTTCCTCTTCCTCATTGTCTGCCCCATCTTCTCCATTCTCTTCATTCTCCTGAAAGTGATTTAAGCAGCATAAGTATTACATTGCTCACATTAGATGCAAGGCCTATACTGGAACCTCGTATGTCACACTATGCTAGGATGAACTGCATTCTCCATTTATTTCTCAAACTCTAGTAAGCATACAAGTTACAATATATAGTAATACAATTCATTCCACCACAGGTAGACACAGTAACTTAGGATACATGTATAACGTGAGGTTAAGAGAGACTCTTAAAATGGACAACTGCATAACATGTATACAGCATTCCTGTGTAGCATACATCTTTGTCAATTAAGAAATGGGAGATAGAATTCTGTGCTGTTCTACTACTATCAAACCTTCATGAAACATGTATATGCTGCACACACTAAGCCTACAATAACCAACAAGAAAAAGCAGCTTGAGGCATTTTATTTCTTGATGAGCACTTCTACCATGCTTTGTATGTACAACATATGCATTTCTTACAGATTGTCATTTCTCAGCGCTGCCACTCAGTAGTTATTTGACAGCATTACTCAGGCTTAGTCTGAGAATCACAAAAAAAAAGCGTGAGATGTCAAAATACCTAAATGGGTTTCATCGTTAATAAGACAGGCAGTTATTCTGCAAATGATGCAAAAACATCACAGCAGATAGATCAATCTAATGTTTAAACAGAGTCTGCTTTGTGCAATGTTTTCACATGTACACATTTCTAGTCATACATCCAAAATCTAGGTACAATATCCTTATAAAAAAATAGGAGGAATAGAATAGGAGCTAATGCAGATACTGAGAAGTGTTTACCTGTCATTTAGATGTGATACCAACAGTACCTCTGGCAACATGTATATAGTTCTAAAAAAAAAACCCTTGTTATCTATTGGCTGATGTGCAGATTCCATTGCTATTCTGGATCAGTATATCAGAACACTGCAGCCTTTGAAATAGGTGGGTAGATGTGTGTGTAAAACATTGACTTAGTATCAATCTCAGCAATGATTTACATTTATTAAAAACTGTGTGTATAGTCTGCAAATACCCAAATACATAGGAAGGCCTTTTCGATGTTATCTCACAGCTGATTGAAAACAAACTCAGCAGTAATGGATGGAGACAGATTATTTTATTTTATTACAGGTACTTATATAGTGCCATCAATTTAGATTACATGTGATGTACACCACTGGCTGGAGCACGCTGAGGTATGTGTTTCAAGAATAATGACTAACAATTTGGGGGAAATGTGAATTTAATGACAGGTCCTTAGTAACAAGCTTTGCTAGCCTAACATTACACCTTGCATACACCATGGGATGAGAAAACTGCACTATAAGACCAGTTACAACTGCTGGCTATGTGACAACTGTTAAAAGGAAACATAGTAATACAGAAGTACAAAATGTTACAATGTTTTATCTGACTGAAACACACAAATGTTAATGATGGGAAAGGCATGATACAGTATTCTAAGAGGCTGCTGCAATCACCTAAATGTGATTTTTTTGAAGAAACTGGAGATCTTAAAACACTTACTGCATTCCCATTGGCTGGTTTGTCCTTCCCGTTTTCTGTTTCTTCTACAACTTCCTTGTCTTTTGCTTTCAAGTCCTTTATAACAACAATAAAAGTCATTTAGCATCTCAATTAATATAATGGAAATAAAAACAATATCAAATGTTTTTAGTGATATTTACAAGGACTATTTGGGTAAAAACAGGCTCTCTTCAGTTTTCTTTATGAAGCAATAATTCAAGAAAAAAACAAAAAAACAAAAACACCTTTCTACTGATAATCACTTACAATTGTCAGGGGTTATTGAACTAGTTACAGTATCTCCTATAGTGGGAATCATTTTGGACAGTTGGGATTGCCTGGGAAATCCAGTAAGTGGCCAACCTGACCTGCTGTCCAAAGCCTTAACAGCTAAAATGTGTATTTAACACAGCAAACCTATTTAATGCCAGCATACTCTTATAAATCTACTTGGCCTAGATTACTGCAAATACCCTCCATTGGCTGTAAATGTTCCTAAAGCACTGAGTGAAGCTGGCATGTATCAGTTATACTCCACATCAACCACTCCTGAGCAGACCATGTCCCTATAGCCCTGGGAAAGCTGTACAGCACAGGCAGCATACATAACCTGGTACCTACTGATAGGACACTCCAGCACACTCGCTCAGTGACCAGAGGGCCCCAGGCTAAAAACTATTTACATTACAAGCTCTCTTCACTTCAACGGGCTTGTTCATAGCATGTCTGTACAAATGTAACTATGGCTGTCTGAGATCAGATATGCAGTATTTGTAAAGACACTACCCCTTAGCAGACAGGTCATTAAATTATTACTTTTATTTCCAACCTTAACCTGGAAACAGAATATGTCTGAAGTACCAGTGCATATGTAGTCTGGGGTAAGTGTTGATATAGAAATTCTTCACCTCGAATTGGTAAAAACAGCTGGAAAACATGCACATCTGCATTAATGTCCTGGGAACACTGGAGCTAAAGCAAATGCATGTCCTACACAATGATTGGTTGGTAGGGGCAGCTCATTATGTGTACCATTTCCATAGCCAGGCCCACCAACATAAATGGAAACGATCCTATATTAAAAACCCAGCTTGCCCAGCTTAAGTTTGGCAGTGAAGCCTTTACTCAGGCTGTTGACACTGTAATGATTGCAGCAGTACATGAACCACTTAAGACATTATGAAAACGTCAAACATTGAGGCCAGTACATGACAAATGGGGCCTCTATGGCCTTGCTGGTTTCCATTCAATATAGTATAACCCATACTAACTAATCTGAATTTATTCTGCTATGCTCACACCATTAAAATGAGTCTGATTGGTTACCATAGGTTTCTGCACTTAAATTGGATGTTCACCCTATAATTACTCTATAAACATTAAACATCCGTGTAAACATATGTGCCTGATAAATACTGTCCCATATTTGACTAAAGTGCTCTGGTTGTCCAGTAGTCAGCATTGGAAACTGCCATCCCTTTACCAGTGACACCATACAACTTATGGTGTCACTCAGCCCCTCTCATTGTACCTATGTCTTTGTCAGCATCAGTGCACAGAAAGGTGTCTCAGTCAGGGCTTTGCAATCACAAGATATAGATCAGGGGGCTGAGTGATGTCATGAGATACATGGTGTTGCTAGTAAATGGCTGGTAGTACCCAATGCTGATGGACAGACTAGTGGAGCACAGACATACATCAAACATGGTGCTATGTATTCATCAAGGTACACATATTACATGGATGATTAATATTCCCAGAGCAATTCTAGGGTGAACTTCCACTTCAAGATTTAGATTTTTAATCTCTTCAGTGAGTCAAACTCCACGAGTTGAATACAAATATATGGATTTATCAGATTTGTATTGTGTATCCAGGGCAGTGTCTTCATCAGAATTGAAATATATCACCTGTGGTCCAGCAGTCATTTACATTGTTGGAACCATAAGTCCCAGGAGAACCTGCCATGCACCACAAGCTGATCAGGGTCAAATGAAATACTCAACATAAAAATAAATAAAACCCCTCTCAGGGGATAAAAACTATGGAAATGACACCCCTGAACCAGTCCCTGACACTAGGACACTGGCACTGATCTCCGATCCCACTGGAAGGCCAGCCAATAGCACATTCTATGCCTGACTAGCCACAACATGCAGCAAAACTCATTTCAAACCTAGTGCCCATCACAGCGGCCTGCCATTGGCCCAATCTCGGCTGCTATCACCTCCCATGTCCTTATACGGCCTTCCGGAGCCACTGATTGGCTGCGTGCCCCATACGCCGGCCCCCTTGCAGAGCATAGGCTCACGGGATTTGTAGAGCGATCACACTGGGCTTCGCTGAGTCCCTAATGCAGACACGCCCGGAGAGGAAGGGCGGAGAGACTACAAGTCCCGGTAGGCTGTTCAATGGAACTTGTGCTGAGTGACGTGCAGCCTCCCCGCTGGGGGTGAGGAGCGATGTGCGGACTATTCTAGGAGGTAGATGGCAATGGATGAGATGAAGGTGATCTATATCAGTCCCCGATGTGTACAGCGCCCCCCACCTCTATTACTGGGAATAGAAGAACTGGGACAGGAGGGCGCGATTAGCCTCCGCAGGTAGACACTGTGCCATCAGCGGAGTTAGTCATTAACCCTCCCCCACCTCCTAATTAAAGGCTCTGCCTTCCAAGTCCTAATCCGGTTACCATCTGTCCCCCTCCCCTATCTCCCTTCGGATTGATCGTCTCCCCCGGGACTGCAGCCGGTGGACGTGGTGAAGTGTGGAGTGCACAAACAAGTGGCAACCCCCCCCCCCATCATCATCATAACTCATCCGCGCAGCTGGGACCTCATTAACCCCTACAGTGCAACACAATGCCGCCTCCTCCGGGGGGATCATTGCCGATCTATCATCAGCACCGCTGTGCCCGGACTAGACACATCACTGACAGCCCGCTGACATCCACACTGCCCTCCGCACACAGGTATTCATCACCAGCACTGGCATCACAGCACATCACTTGTCTATATACATAAGGCGCTCACCTCCCCCCCCCCCCCCGATCTGTAATATAAAGGGGTCACCACAATATACAAAGGTGACATCTCGGGCTGATCGGATCAATCCCCTCCATCCTCACACAGCGATCCCACCACCTCCTCCCGGGTGACCCTGATCACAGATGACAGCTCTCCGTGACACATCGCCCCTACCGCGGGGGATCCCGAGTCCTCCCACCAGTGTGCGTGGGTTGGTTCCGAACACGGCGACCCTCCGCGCACATCACCCACCGACGATCGGGGACTTCCCTCCATCCCGGAGACATCTGGTACCCAGCCAGAGCCATCCCGATACATAAGGCAGGTAGGAGCCCGCTGTCCTCTGCTCCTGATCCCCAACACCTCCAGCCGGGGAGCCCTCCTGTCATATGTATCTCACAAGGTGTCGAGGATCAGGTGCAGCACACCTCCATCCATAGGAACAAAGAGGGTTGACCGCCGCCGGGCTCCCCGCCGAACAGCACACAAAGCTCCGCGCTTACCTTGGTTGTCTTCTCCACACTGGCGTCTACTGCTGTGTCTGACATGGTGGCCGGGATAGGATCGAATGGAACCTGCAGGAAAAGTGTGTGCCTAGATCCGGGGAAGTTGGAGTGCGGGCAGCCTGGTGCGGGAACAATGCAAAGATGGCTTTTTTTATTTTTTTATAGTGACTGCCAGTGAAGGACTCACGCGGCGCCAGTCCCTTTAATATAGATTAGTGGGAGGAGCGTCAGGCCGGCTCGTCGCCTCTTCATTGGCTACTGTCTCCTGACAAAGGAGGGGGCATCATCCTTAGCTCAGGATTGGTTTGCGCTGAAACAATGGGGGAGGGTGGCTTGTTTTCCTTTCCTCTCTAAACTGCAGTACCTCCGAAGACCGCCGCGGCGCTTCATGCCTCTACTGCGCCTGCGCCCTTGGCTTTAGCATTAGCCGCTCTTAGCTTGGCAATCCAATGCAAATGAACAGTTTTTTCCTCCTCTTGTTCAGGAGGGAGGGGGAGAGAGAGGGGAATAGTGGCGTGTGCAAAACTAAAGAAAAAAAAAAGAGGTAGCACAGCGCGCAGAATAAGAACAGCCCCCTGATCATTGGGAAACATGCCCCGGGGCATTCAGTGAATGGGATCCGGGCTATAACCTTTGTGTGATCTGGCTGCGGGATGTGGCATGGCCAGTGTGTGGCGCTGCACAGCCCGATCCGGATTGGACGATGAACAGCCCGCTTTATTACAGGGCGATGTGCGATCAGCGGTGCCCCTGTCATTCCAATGTGTGGCCGGGCTTGTACTTGGCACAGGCTGCTCATGGACTGCTCCCGCTAATTGGCTTTTGTTCCTCATCACCTACAGGGAGCGCCGCTCATCCCCCAATTCACTAAGGCGCGGAACCTGCCCGCACGAGGCTCGCTTTGCGAGGGAATTTTTTTTCTTTCTTAACCCCTCCAGTGCTGAAGGCGGCGAGTGGAAAATTTCCATTCCGCGTTAGCCCTCCCTCTATTCCTAACCGTCATCTCCCCACACGGCTCCGCCCACCGCACGGCACCCTTTCTCTGCCGGGCCCTGCACTACCCAGGCTCGCCATTGGGCGCCCCCCTAGAGCACAAGTGCCTCGGAGAATAAGGGCAGCTATGCGCGCCGTGGTTGTGCTGGCGCTTGTAGTGAGCCAACAATGGAAGGCACGTTGAGGGAGAAGCATTAGCTGTGGGTGAAGGGCGCGCTAGCTTCCGGCAGCCCCCACATCAGGAGTAGGAAACGGTCCGCTCCTTTTTTATCATCCGTTATAGAGCTGGAAGAGGTCACTAGGGGTAACAGGAAAAGATTCACCTCAAAACCTCTAATAGTAGCATAGGTGTATGTAAAGGGCAGTATCCCAGAACAACCAATCGGGCTTCAGTGCGCTGACGTCACGTCCCCTGTGGATTGGTTGCTATGGGATACGGCTCTTGGTGACTGGCCCAATTAACTACAGAAGGTCGATGGCAGCTGGCGCACGTGTTGGTCTTTGTGGATTTAACCCCACCCCCTCATTTGTTTCAAGCCTCGCTAGCGCTAGCACGGGCGTGGGTTAACGTCCTAACAATGATTAGTACTGCACGGTGTCATTTGGTAGAGCGGGCAACCCACGTTGCGCCCGCTAAATCATCGGAAATCTATCCAGCACCACGAATATCATGCGTTCGCCGCGCGCTGAAGTAACATTTAGGGTCATTTCAACATAATCTGAATTCACAAAACTGGCGGTTTGTTTGGCTCTCTTCCAATGCCAGCAGGGAGCGCCACAACAAAGATGGCGCCTTGCGAGCTTCACCGGCACATTCCATCGAATATCTCCGCAGATATTGGGTAAAAACCGCCATTGCTCACCTCTACCTCATGTGGCGGCTCTAGGAGAGCAACATGCCGCGAAGAAAACAGACCGAGCGCCCTTTATCTCTTGGAAACGTCGACGAACGTTGTCTCAACGCGACGACGTTTGCGCCACACACACAATATGGCGCCTCGACTTCACCAGAGTATTGGCGTCAACAGGGTTCGCTCTGTGATTGGCCACCTGGAAGAGCGTAAGTTGGAAGCCACACCCGCAGGCCGCTGATTGGCGCATGGGTTAGAACGAACACAGAATTGACGCTTTGCGGGTTTTCATTGGCTGAGTGAAGTGCCCGTCTTATGTCATGGCTTTTGCTAGACAAACACAAAACCCGGAGTGCGGGCAGGAATCAGCGAGGCAGTAAAGTGAAATATGAGACGCTATATAGTTTTATGTGGACGGCTATTAAGTGTTAGTAGGTAGAAATATGAATACACCGAGCACAGCAGCCGCATGTGGAGCGGGAGAATAGGTCCAGGCTGTGCTCTGTATGAGCAGACAGCTTTATAGACAATATAGAGCCAGGAGACCAGTGATATGTGGGAGTTCTGGGTGCACTACAAGCCGCCTTCATACTTTACTGTTGTAAAAATTCTACATTTTATCACGTGTCTGCCCATTCACTGTGTTTAGTGAGGTTTTAATGCGTGTGAGGAAAACACGGGAACGCACGGCACACCGCGGGGGACATTTATCAATTCTGTGCTACGTAAGGTGACGCCAAACTGGAGCAGCCAGAGAGATTATTAGAGCACTGATTTACCACAAGGTTGTAGCTGGAGTCCTACAGTCCCTCACTCCACAGAGTCGGCCATTTCTGAATGTGGCGGCCTGTGTGGGAGATAATAGGTTGGGCCCCCTTACCTGCAAACGGGAGAGCCACACCGCACTCCAGCTACATACATGTGTGCGTTATTTAACACCCCTTCATACATATAACATATTCAGTAATAAAGCGCCATTCCTATGTAGTGCTAAATGGCGGCCAGGGAGCGCTATCAGGAGGAGGGTCTTTAAGGGACATAAATATAATCTGAGTTTAACAGACACACAACACTCCACACAACTATTAAAATGGTCATAAAGGCTCGAGGCTTTTTGTTTTACCTTCGTGCAATCCCCCCCCTAATGCTCACCTAAGCCCCCTCTCGATCCAGCCATGTGCATTGGAGTCTCGGCTAGCCTGGGACTCCCTCTTCTCATTGCAGCCATGTGCATTGGAGTCTCGGCTAGCCTGGGACTCCCTCTTCTCATTGCAGCCATGTGCATTGGAGTCTCGGCTAGCCTGGGACTCCCTCTTCTCATTGGCCAATACAGAAGCAGGAGCCATTGGCTCCCACTGCTGTCAATCAAAGCCAATGAGAAGAGAGAGGGCGGGGCCAAGCCATGGAGCTGTGTGTGAATGGACACACGGAGCAGCAGGTGCCCCCATTAGCAAGCTGCTTGCTGTGGGGGCACCCGACAGACAGGAGAGCCTGCGGGGGGCCTGAGAAAAGGAGGATCTGGGCTGCTCTGTGCAAAAACAACTGCACACAGCAGATAAGTATAGACATGTTTGTTATTTAAAAAAAAAAACCTTCAGAATAACTTAAAAAATTGAACTTTTCCAGAAAATATTTGTCAGGATACCTTAAAGCCCACCTATTGCATATTAGCAACCCTAGATCTAAATGCCTGTATGGAGAAAAAAACCTTTCCAAATGCCCATATTAGTTACATGAAGCTAAGGTCACAAGACAACCCTCTCTTCACTTCCTGGGGTCCTTCTTTCGGGGTCTATATCACTGCCGTTGTGGTGTGGACACTACTATTGGTGGAGGTGACACTTTCAGTGGCTGGGTCCTCTCATAGACCCCAGAGGCAGGAGAACTCAAAGAGGTGGTGAGGAGACCAGTGCCTAAGAAGGAAACGAGCTGGAAAAATGTCTGGTCCCCAGGTCAGGATATTAGCTTTGCTCAGGAAATTGTGACTTTTATCCATTACACTTCAGTATGGCTTAGGAAGAGGTGTTTGGAATGAAGACTGAGGAGTAAGGCCATTAACCACTAGCCTACCGGGCACTTATACCCCCTTCCTGCCCAGGCCAATTTCCAGCTTGTAGCGTTGTTGCACTTTGAATGACAATTGCGCGGTCATGCAACACTGTAACCATATGAAATTTGTATCATTTTTTTGTGACAGAGCTTTATTTTGGTGGTATTTATACAACTCTGGGTTTTTAATTTTTTCTTAAACTACAAACCACTGAAAATGTTGAAAAAAAAATTTTTTTCCTAGTTTTTGTTATAAAATTTTGTAAATAAGTGATTTTTCTCCTTCACTGATGTGCGCTAATGAGGCTGCACTGATGGACACCGATAGGTGGCACTGATGAGGAGGCACTGGTAGGTGGCACTGATGGGCATTGACAGGCATCACAGATGGGCACTGAAAGGTAGCACTGATAGGTGGCACTGACTGGCAGCATTGATAGGTGGCACTGACTGGCAGCACTGATAGGTGGCACTGACTGGCATTGATTGGTGGCACTGACTGGCACTGATGGATGACACTGAAAGGCAGTTCAGATGGGCACTGATATGTGGCATTGATGTGGCACTGAAATGTGGCACTGATGGGCACTGGCAGGTGGCATGGATGAGCACTGACATAAGGCACTGATGGACACAGGTGGCGCTGCTGGGGCTATATAGATCATCAGGGCACACTGATCATCAGTGCTCTGATGATCAGTGTACATGTCCCCTCCGAGGAATGCCGATTACCGGCTCTCCTCTCGAGTTGTCAGTGTGACAGCTCGAGAGGAGCGAAATGCCGATAACCGGTATCTCCCTGTTTACATGTGATCAGCTGTGATTAGACACAGCTGATCACATGACCGAGCCGACATCTTCGGCTGTTTCCATGGATCGGTGATCCGCTGTGTCCGAGGGGCACAGCGCACCGCCAATTGCCACGCGGCGCGCTCCCGAAGCCGCGCATACACGGTTAAAATGGGAGGACGTCATATGACGTCCTCCCAGAACGAGAGAACCACCTTGGGCCCGTCATACTACTATATGGCTGGGGGGAAGTAGTTAATGCACACTTGTTTTTAGCCTGGAGTTGGGCTTTAAGGGCCCTTTCACATGGCATTCCAATAAGGTCTACAAGTCAGTTTTTCAGATAGTATATGAAGAAACAAAAAGAGGGCGCACAAGCCTAGTGCATTACCTTTAAAAACAAGATTTATTGCTAAAAAGTAAAATCCTCACAAAGGAATAAAATCAAATGAAGGGCATGTGACAAGAAATGCAGCGTGGTCCAATCACCCTGAAGGATGTCTGGTTGGGGACTGTAGACCTCTAGGTGGCTGTTGGCTGCCGCGTTTCCAGGCTGTGCCATGTGACATCCCCTTCATTTGATTTTATTCCTTTGTGAGTATTTTACTTTTTATCAATAAATCTCATTTTTAAAGGTAATGCACTAGGCCCATGCGCCCTCTTTTTGTTTCTTCATATACAGTTCGTTTTGGATTTCCCTGGTCCGTTGAGGGCAGCAAAACTTGCATTTCTTCTATACTCCATGTGGGGATACAGACAGTGTGGAGTCCACTGTCCAGCGCAGGAATTCAGGCATTCGGTTGCTTTTTTTGTTCCGTTTTTCAGATAGATCAGATCAGAAGCTCTATGCAGTCCTATAGATTGGGGGGATGGATGGATGTGTAGGCAAGTGCAGTTTTTCCTCCCTGCTGTAGCTGGTGCTGTTCAGCTGGTTATTGTGCAAAGGGAAATGGAAGTTGAGAGGATCTTTGTTCATCTGAAGCCTCCATAGGTGTCATCAGGGGAGCAGCAGTCTGATTGGAACTGAACCAAGCCATCAAATGGCTGGTGTCATAACTATCCCGCCTCCACCTAACAACTGAATTTCCACTTTGTCCATTAGCTCATGCCCCACACTTATTACCTATGTATCATTTGACCCTCACCTTTAGATTGTAAGCTCTGACGAGCAGGGGCCTCTGATTCCTCCTGTATTGAATTGTAACTGTAGTGTCTGCCCTCATGTTGTAAAGCGCTGTGCAAACTGTTGGTACTATATAAATCCTGTATAAAAATATTCATAATGAAATGTGCAGCTCCATGGCAACTATAGATCAAACAAATGCTAAGATTGCAGCTTCTTTGGCTTTAAAGGATAGGAGGGTTTAATGCTGCTTTAGGCTGGGTGATACAATTTTGATTCGACTTTCAGAACGATCATGTAGTGCAACTTGGATAAGGTTTGTATAGTCTATGGGGCCAATATCATGCTGGAATCATTCTAAAGTAGTGCAGGAACCTTTCCCAAAACTGTGCTGAGTTGCATTGATGTGAACGGCACCATTGAAAACAATGTGATTTCCATTGTCATGTAATTCTGTGCAATTTAAGTCATACCTGAAATTGCACTAGTGTGAACGGATCCATACGAAGAAACATTCTAAAAGTGTCTACTCGACAACCAGGTAGCAGGCAGTGACAACTTAAAGCGGAACTAAAATCCAAGATACCCTAGCTCCAACAGTCTGCTGTCTGATAGATCCCTCACCGGTACCAGCATCTTCTACTCCGCTTCTTCTGTCTTGGTTGGTGCGGGATGACGTAACGCCTGCACATGCACCAAAGTGTAGTCATCCCAGCACACAGGCACAGGGCCGGAATGTATACTGAGCTGTGCATGTGCAACTGAGTGTACATTTTAAGAAATGCTGAGATAAGGCAGGTAGGTTTATTTTATTGGAAAAGAGACATTGCATGCCTCTTCTGCAATAAAGAGCCCACCTGCTCACAATTAAAAAAATAAAGACTTTCGTTCTGCTTTAACAATGTTTACATCAGGAGCCAAAGTATCACATTAGAGGCCCCCCTTCATATCCAGAGTCCCTGATTCCTGATCACCTGACCTTGAAAGGCAAGCGTGGACTGACCTGGATCAACACCATGGTTTATTAGTAACACATAGAGGTGAATTGGGCCAAAACATTGCCTCCCCACCACTCTGTGTTTTGGGTTTATCCGTGACATCTAGCCATTGCACACAGTGCCATGACATATTATCCTCCAGGGAGATTCTTCCCTTACTAACCCCTGGTTCACATATCTGCATTCTGTGTTTTGCGCGGGCACAAGAGCACATTCTTTTGAATGGACTCCCGTGACCCGGGACACGCAGCAGAGAAAAGAAGTCCCTGCACTTCTGAAAACGCAGCCCGCACGGCAACCTCGGTTCCCAGTGCGGTTGCGATTTCCAGTGCAGGCGGCGTACCATTAGAACTAATGGCACCTGCCTGCGGGTCCGCATTCTTCTGTGTGGGTGGTACAGCTGCATGGATTTTTGTGCCAGTCCGCAGCGGCACCACCCACACATATTTGAACCTAGCCTAAGGCTGGCCATACACTATACAATTTTCTGCCCAATTTACTTTAGATTTACCTTCAACTGTGTAGTGCAAGAGCTTGCCTAATTGGATACAATTGAAAGTGTTGTTAGGTTTGACCTTCTATTATATGGTTTTTGGTAAATCTAAACCAAAAATCTCAAGAAAATTGTATAATGTATGGCCAGCCTTAGGGAATACTTGCACTTGACTTCAATGGGAAACTTTTAAAGGCTAATTGTGCACCTGCTTTGAGTGAAAATCGGTCTCATCTGCATTGTTAAATCTGATTGCAGTTGGCTGCCTAGGATAACAGGTGCAGGGGTCACAAAAACACAGAAAAATGATCCCACTGATTTTATGGCATTATGAGCAGTCTGTTTAGCCCCTCTGATCGCTAGAACTGGCAGAAGAAAAGCTGCTTAACCACTTGCCACTCACCCCAGTATATCTGCTGTGGGCAGGTAGCACAGCCAGGCTAGGCAACATACCTGTGTGTTGCAGCCTTCCTTCTGGGTTTGGGGCTCACATTCGTGTGCCCCCCCCCCGCTGACTCATGCTGTGACTGGACAGACCACGAGTTTGTCAGCAGGTTTCATCCAATGATTTTGGCTATAAACCTGCTGATCAACTGTGGCCAATCACAACACAAAGTTCTGTCTTTACAAACACACAGAACTCTGTATACACAGAACTGTGATTTGGTGATTTCTTTTCCCAGAAACACAGAGAGAAAAAACAGCCAGATCTGTGATTAAAAGCCGCACATGTTACACTTGTTAGGCACACGGTTAACTCTTGATGTTAACCCCTTCCCAGCCAGTTTCATAAGTACAGTGTACGGTATTATATGTGATCACTGTATCAGTGTCACTAATTACGTTAGTGTCCCTCCTAGCCAGTGTCTTTTAGTGCCAGATTGCCTACCACATTATCACTGTCCCACTATAAGTCGCTGGTCACCGCCATCATTAGTATAGTGTAAATTCCAGTATAAATGCCATCGTTTGTAGGCGCTATACTTTTCACACAAACCAATTAATATACACTTACTGGGATGTTTTTACCAAAGACGTGTAGCAGAATCAGGGGCGGACTGACCATTTGGAAACTCAGGCACTGTTTGAGGGCCCGGGGTCAGTAGGGGGCCCCATGAGATGCCCCTGGTACCTTTTTCATAGGCTTTTTTGAGTTTGGGCAAGAACACAGGGGCCACATGATCCCCTATTGCCCGGGGGCCCCATGAGTTGTCAGTCCGCCCCTGAGCAGAATACAATTTAGCTAAAACCACAACAGTAAAATCAGTCTGTATATGCAGTAAAGCATGCTTGTTATACTCACTGTGGAAACAAAGGGGTTAATCCTCTGCTTTGTGTAAAAAGGCTGTTTGATTCTGTATCCTCTGACCCTCCCCATTCTTCTGCTGTCCCCAGTCCATCTTTTGATAGTACAGCAGACCCCTAGGAGGCACTTTGCACATGCTCAGTTTGGTGTGTATTGAGCGATTTTTGTTTTGTTTTTTTTTGGGTGCATGTGATTCTCACAGGGCCAATCAGCACTGTCCAGACAGAGGTCATGGGTTTTGAATCTTCTTAGAGCAGAAAGAAAACTCCTTCTACGAGATTTAACTAGTGCTCTGCCGAACACTAATAGAAGTAACAAGACCGCTCTAACTGCTGATGAGAAAAAGTATTTAGCGGTTTATAGTTTCTAAAATAATTGCATTTACATGTTCTGTGTACTATTGGAGACCAGATATAGTGAATGCAGGGTCCTGGGTTTAGTAACACTTTAAATATATGAAATTTGATTTTATTGGATATGTTTTATAACAGAATGTAAAAAATATTGCTTTTTTTCAGGGGGTCTTTGTTGTTTAATAAAAAATAAAAAAAGAACAATAATGATCAAATACCACAAAAAGAAAGCTCTATTTGTGTGAAAAAAAATAAGAAATTCATTTGGGTACAGTGTTGCATGACCAAGCAATTTCCAGTTAAAGTAGCACAGTGCCGAATAGCAAAACACATGCCCTGGTCATGAAGAGGGTAATGCAGGACATACATGGGTCGAATTCCGAACAATTTTTTGTCCAAAAATCAAAAACTTAGTTCGCTCTGTAATCCGATGGTGCCATCAATGATTTCGAAAATCGGCCGACCAAGTCATAAAGTTCACCCCATATAACAGGTGAAACTTCTGTTCCTTCCAGGTCATGGCTCATGCGCATATTCTTTTCGGAAAAACGATCGTATACAATTTTACCATCATTGAGTCGAAAATTGGTAGATTGGTCATTTTCACAAATTTTCCAACATGCTTGATCACTGAAAAGGGGAGGAACCACAAAAATTGGCTGGTGCCATTGACCCACTAAGAGAGCAAAAATCATCTGAATTTCTTAGGTCCGATTTTCGGATGAAAAATCGGTCGAAAATCCATGTATGGCCGCATTAAACCATTCTGGAGGTCAAGCGGTTAAAGAACGTGGTAAAAGTCATGTAGTAACACACATTTAGATGCGTCATGCATTTGAGT